AAAGTGAGGCATCTTAGGAGTTGTTCCTAGGAGCTGACTTGAGGGCGTGTTGGGAGTTCACTGAGGGCAACAAGAAAGAGGCTCAGCAGAGGATGGGGCTGCCCACGGAGGTGGTGAGCTGTCTGTCCCTCCCTGAAGGTGGACCCAGCTGAGGAGGAACAGGCTGGTGAGCGCTGGTGGGATGGAGGGAGGACTGTGACTAGCAACTCTGTTACTGTTTGAAAGAGGCTCTGAGCCTTGGCCTGGGAGGCTGTGTGGGAAAGTGGCCAGTACAGCCCCCAGGCCAGGCTGGATCTGAGAAAGTGAGCTTCGGGGACAGCAAGTGGAGATGGAGCAGGGATGTCATATGGAAGGGGCTGTAGAGGGTCAGCCTGGGGACGGGGCTTGAGTGGGGAGGCAGTGGTAGTCTCCAGCTGGGAGCCCCACTTCTAATCCTCCCCTCAACCTCAGCATCTGACTTGGCCTCTCTAAGCCCTCAGAGCTGAGCGGGCGCATCCTGGGGCCAAGAGTGGAGGTTTAAGCCATTCCCACCCAGGGTGGGGGACAGATGAAGTGAATCATCAGGAAGGACTTACAAGCAGGAAGGATGGTTAAGCCTCTCAACCCCTCTGCGTGTAGTGGAGGGTGGGTTAGGGCTAGGGCAGCAGAAAGGATGCCATGGGGGTGGGGAGCAGGGCAGAGAGACTTGGAGCCCTCAGCTGGTTCTACTCCCTTGGTAACAGATGTGGCAACTGTGCCCAGAGAAGGCCTGGCTTGGGAGGCTGGTCACAGCAAGGAAGGAACAGAACCCAGAGCCTATGTTCTAATTGCATTGAGATTGCTAGAGCCTCTGAGGAGTGCTGAGAGAGATGCATGGGGTAGGGGGTGCTCTGCGGGGGGGGGGGGGGGGTCTGTGTGTAGTTCTGAGCTTGAAGTGGTGGGGCCTTGTTGAACTGATATGTGATGTGATGAGTTTGGGGAAGAACAGTTCCTATTAGAAGCAGTTGTTAGGGATGGAGATTGATGCCTTACCTAAATTCTAGGCCTCTGGGCGGTCTTGGTCCCAGGAAGTTCTGCCTCCCTGCCTGGGGCTGGAAGCTGACTGGGAAGCTGTGAATCAGAATAAACCTGAACAACTTCTCATGGCCAGAGATGTTGGTTCTGATGGCCCGGAGGGCCCGGCGTCCCTCCTGCTCCCCTCCCCTCATCCCGTGTGCAATAAATCACTGACCCAATGAGCCATGATCCTTGGAACAGCTGGTGTAAGTTGTCTGATTTCTGACTTCCTGCTGCGACCTCTGACACCCCCTGTGACGCTCTTCCATGCCTGGGTATGGCCTGGGTGGAGGGAGCCCTAGTTGCCCAGGAAAGGGGCCCTGTATGTCTTTCATGCATCATGGCATCCTTGAGTCTGCAAACTTGCCTCCCAGGAGAGAGACCTAGGCTGGCAACCACGCCTGAGACCTCATTCTCCCTGGTGGCTGGGTGGCCAGTGGGCTTTGGGGTCAGTCAGGCTCAGGTTCTAACTTCAGTATGGCCCTTCTAAGCTGTATGGTCTTGGATTCATCACTTCTCTCTGAGCCTCCATGTGCTCATAAAATTGACACTAACACACCACCTCTCCCCTCGGTACTCAGTACAGCGCCCACCGAGTGGCCAGATCCCAGGACATGGGAGGGGTCACCCCCCCCATGTGTCCTGGCCCAGGCCCAGCCGCCCTCCTTATGTCACCGGAAAATGGGGCTGAGTTGGTGGCAGCGGGGATCCCAGTAGAGGAGGTGTACACGTGGCATCTCTAGGGCCCTGGGGGAAGGAAGAGGTGGGAAGGGTGAGGTGTTGGTTCCTCATTGGTCTGGGTTAGGCTTTCCGGGGTGGCCCCCACTGCACACAGGCACACACACACCTGCGCCCCAACCGTAGCCCAGGCTTATTGAGCCAGCTCCGCTGACCATGATGCTGTCTCTGCCGCTGATACTGCTGCTGGGAGCCTGGGCCATCCCAGGGGGCTTTGGGGACAGGGACCCACTCACAGCCACGGCCCCACAGCTAGACGATGAGGAGAAGTACTCAGCTCACATGCCTGCTCACCTGCGCTGTGATGCCTGCAGGGCAGTGGTCTACCAGGTAAGTACCTACCCCCTGCAGTTCCCTGGACCCTGTCCAGGTCCCTCCTGAAGCCAGGCCCCTCCATCTACCTCTGATCCTACCACTGGCCTTTGATTTCCAAACCCCTACCCCGGGCCCTGAGTTGGACTTAGCTTTCCATGACATTGCCAACTGCACGTCACCCAAACCTCCATGCCTCAGTTTACCCATCTCTCAGCCCAACAGAGAGCAAATAATATGGGACATCCCACAGTATCTTGAGACCCCAGGAGTCGCTTGCTTGTCCTCTCTAACTCCTCCCTCTCCGGGCTTATCCTTGGGTCTGGACCCCTTCCCTGGAGGAGAGCACGGGTGTGTATGTACACGTGTGCACATGGGTTGAGCGCATGAATACATGCATGAGTGTGCCTTGAGTTCACAAAGAAACCCATCAAGCATGCCTGACTACCTCTGTTGGGGGAGGGAAGGCTATGAGTACACGTGACATTGAAGACTCTGGTTTTCTGTTTTGTTTTTTTTTTTCCTTTCCTTGTTCTTACGGTTTAAAATAGCATGGCTGATGGGCAGGTATGCCCTGGGGAAGGAGCCCCAGTGCTTAGGCCTAACTTCCCACCGCAGTGTTTCCTACCCACCCAGCCCATCTCAGGGAAGTGGATCCTACTTTAGCAGACCCAGTCCCAACTTTCAGAACCTGGGGGAAACTCTCCCTGCCACCTCACTCTCTCCTGGAGACACAGGCTCCTGTCTGACCCTCCCCTGCCATTGAGCAGTCCTGGAGCCTTTGCTCTCAGCCTCTCCTTGTTCTAGATGTGGCAATATTTGGCAAAGGCAGAGGCCAAGCTTCATACCCCAGACTCAGGGGGGCAGCGGCGGGAGCTGAGTGAGTCTGTATACACAGATGTCCTGGACCAGAGCTGCACCCAGACCTGGCAGGGGTGAGTCAAGAATCTGGCCCCTACCACCCTCCTCTAGGGGTAGAGCTGATGGGTAGATGTTCCCACTCTCCCACTCACACCAGACACACACTCCACTAAGGCTTTATAAAGTCCAGGGTAGGGAGCTGGCTGGGATGAAGTCTGAGTTCTGGAGCTGAGTGCAAGTAGAATGCTACGTGGCCAGGGGACAATGTTGCTGTGGGACCTTGCGCCAGGGACTCTCTCTGGTTCTCAGTTTTCCCTCAGGGAGGATCAGAATCTGGGCTCTGAATTCAGCAAATGCCCCATGTGCCCAGTTTCATGTGGAGTTGTATCCCTTGCGGGCAGGGCTCCCACTAATACTGTATCCCTCTCCTTCCTGCTGCTTCCAGCTATGGGATCCGAGAAGTGAACCAGGTGAAACGTCTCACAGGCCCAGGACTCAGCAAGGGGCCAGAGCCAACCATCAGTGTGATGATCACAGGGGGCCCCTGGCCCACCAGGTGATGATAGGAGTGTGGGGGTGGGATGGAGACCTTGGAGCCTTGATCACCCCCCTGAGGGGCAGGCAGGGTCTGAAGCTTCTGTCGGGCTCCCCTAGGCTCTCCACGACATGTTTGCACTACCTGGGGGAGTTTGGAGAAGACCAGATCTATGAAGCCCACCAACAAGGCCCCTCAGCTCTGGAGACATTGCTGTGTGGAGGACCCGAAGGGGCCTGCTCGGAAGAGGCGACTATTACAAGGACAGAGCTCTAGTCTGACTCCTTACCCTTCCTGGTCAGCCCCTGAAGACAGCTGGGGCATCCTCTAGATCTGCTCCACTCTTTTCAGCAGGCTGCCCTGGAGGGCAGGAAGGCCATGCTTTTCTGTGCTGCCATGGCCCCTCCCTCCTCCAGCTTCAGGACACGGGGGCCATGTGTGTGTGTCGGGGGTGGGGTGGGGGGAAGGCCTTACCCTCTGGACTCGAATAAAACCCAGTGACCTTGATGCCTTGATTTCTTCTCTCTGCATCAGGTGCTTGTTGGGGGGAGTGCCTGGGTGGCTCAGCAGGTTGAAGCCTCTGCCTTCGGCTCAGGTCATCATCCCAGGGTCCTGGGATCGAGTCCTGCATTGGGCTCTCTGCTCAGCAGAGAGCCTGCTTCCCTTCCTCTCTCTCTGCCTGCCTCTCTGCCTACTTGTGATCTCTGTCTGTCGAATAAATAAACAAAATCCTAAAAAAAAAAAAAGGTGCTTGTGGAGCTGGGAAGACAGACATTGGCTTTTCTGCTGATGTTGTACCTAGAGAGGGCCAAAAACACTTCCCCACAATCTAGAGGTAGGTGAGATGTGTCATGGCTGGAAATGGTAGTGAGCTGTCAAAGGCATATAGGACTAATTACATGAATGGTGAAATTCCAAATCCATCAAGAAAGAAAAGAAAAACCAAGGCTACCTTATAGACATGCCTACTCAGCCACTACATGCTCTCTGGGCCCCTCCCTGAACACTAGTCTAACTGGGTCTATTCCCAGTAGCCGCTCAATTCCTGGATTCTACCTCTGACCCCAGCTGGCAGGGTTAGGCCCTAGGTGTCTGCCTGGGACTGGGCATGGCAGGGTTCCTGAAAGGAGCTGGATTCAGTATCTTGGCTCTCAGTCCTGCTCTCCCCAGAAATTCTTTTGACCTGGGACCTTTCCTTAGCAATGGAGGAAAGCGCCCCACCTAGGCCCTGCCTGAGAATGGGAAGCTGTGGGCAGGCCATGCTGTAACTTCTCGCTTCCTTATTATCTCCCTGATCTGCTGAAGCCCTGGCAGGTGGACAGAGCAGACACTCTAATCCTCAGCTGACAGACACTGAAACTGAGGCTTAGAAAATGAAAGCGGGGGCGCCTGGGTGGCTCCGTCAGTTAAGCATCCGACTCTTGATCTAGGCTCAGGTCATGATCTCGGGGTTGTGAGATTGAGCCCCAAGACAGACTCGGCGCTGAGGGTGGAGTCTGCTTAAGATTCTCTCCCCGTCCCTCTCCCTCTGCCTCCCCCAAAACTTGCGAGTGTGTGAGCTCTCTCTCTCTCAAAGAAAAAAGATAAGAGGCGCTCAGGCCAAGTCCTAGCCTGAGCTAGGGGATTCAGATTCTGGGGTAGAGGCAGATCATTGCTAGAGAAATAGGAGTGCTCCAGGCAGGCCCTAACCCCTCCAATGTCTGTGAGCTGTACGGCAGCCTGGCCTCCTTCATTCCATTACCTGCTCCCTCTCTGCCGGAGGCCCCTCCTCCCTGACCTTCACCCCAGGAGAGAACCCCTTTTCATCAGGAAGAGAGCCAGGGCCCATGGAGCCTGCTGAGCTGTCAGTCGTATCGGGTGTGGAGATGGGAGCCTGTGACACGGATCTGTGTGGCTCTGTGTTATATGGAGGGATTTAGACACAACTGTAGGTCAGTCTGGGTGCTGTGGTCCATTTGTTTGTGTATCTGAAACCATGTGCAGTGTAGCTGCCTCGTCTCTATGTGGATGGTATGGGGCTTAGGTTGAATTGAATGTCCATGGGACTGTGCACTTAAGTGTAAGGGGTGGGGCTCTGCCTCCACAGGCCCCTGGGGAGTACTGGGGTGGAGAGAGGTGGAGAGGAAATGCTAAGGAGCAGTTTCAAAGCTTCGAACTGGTCAGACAACTTTGGGACACCTGGGAGCAGGAGCCAAGGAAGCAGAGCAGGAGCTAAGCAGACGATAGGCAGCAGGAGCTAGGGGAAGAGTTGGAGGCTGGACAGGCGGACAGATCCACAGCTGTAGCATGAAGCTGCTGCCCAGCTGGAGAGCCCGGCTGCCTGAGGGCCTGTGGAGCAGGGCCTGGCCGTGGGCCCAACAACCCAGAAGTAGGTGGGCCCTGGGGGGCTGGACCTGGGGCAGCACAGTGGGGAGCAGAACCAGGAACCTTAGGCCCAATCCTCACCAACTGAGGAGCTCCAGCTCCTCAGACCCTCCCCAAGTCCCTTCAGCCAGCTCTGGCCCCCATGGCCAGGCCAGTGGGCCTTCCAGGAGGACAAGACAGGCTGAGTCCAGGGCAGGCTTCAGCGGCCGTGGGACAGGCACTCACATGGGGCCCAGTGCTTAGAAAGGTTTGGTTTGATTTGGTTTAATACTCTGCTGTATCAAAATTCATAATACTAAAAAAAAAAAAAAATTCGTAATACTTTTGGAATGGGGGCCCCAAATTTTCGTTTTGCACCGGGTCCTGTACGTTAGGCAGCCAGTCCTGACTTGGGAGGGTGGGGAGGGAGTCATCCTGACACAGGGAACAGACAAGGCTGGGCCAGCCTGGGCAGCTTCTCCTCCAGTGGCGCATCTGTTTTGTGCCTCTGTGACACTGAGGGGTTTGTGGCCATATGGGAAAGGCAGCCCTTTTCTGAATCCAATGGCTGATTTATAGCATGAACTCAGGAGTTCAGGTTAACCTGAGTTTTAGGAATGATGTTCTAAAATCTTGCTACTTATGTGACCTCGGTCAGATCACATCTCCCGAGATCTGTTTCCTCAGCAGTAAAAGAGCTTAACGTCGCCCAGTGCCTGGAGTTCAACCCGGGAATACATTTGGCAGGCAGTCATTCCTCATTAAGAAACGTGATTTTGATGATGATAATCATTAACTTGTTATTAAAAGTGGGGAAGAGTCTCATTCAGAGTGTGACTTATTAAGGTTACTACCATTCTCTTCCCTGTCACCTGGGGCTTGGTGAACCGTCCGCTCCTCATCTGTACCCTGACCCTCTCTTGGAAACAACAGGTCCCATGCCCAGGCTCAGGTGCTGGCAGGGAAGGGCGCATGCTCAGGAGAGAAATGTGACCGAGGCTTGGGTGGCCTTTACCACTAGGGCTGGAGTTAATACTTTATCTCTGCTCAGGTCTGCCTTTCGCAATCAGAGCTGGGAATCTGGTTACAGATTTACTTCGAACAATGTCTGATGTGTGGACTAAAGTCCTCCTTGGCCTTTGTAAAGCCATCCCCTCTTTTCCTCAGGAAGTGCTCACAGCTGTGCCCCAAAGATGAGGGCCCAGGAGAACCTGGAGGGCCGGACACAGGTGCTGGGGAACGGGTGGGAGCTGGGTGGGGGCAGGGTTGGGTGGGGGCTAGAGGGCCTGCTCGTACCTTCCCCCTGGGAAGGCAGAGACACAAGTTCTGATGAACTTGATTGAGAGTGACTATCCCAAGCTGAAAGTAGTAGTTGGGGGATGGGGGGGGGGGGGCAGTGAAGGTGCAGGAGTCATCAGCTTTGAGATGGGCTGACTCCAACTTGAGGGCCAGCAAGGACCACCCACCCCACACCCAGGGCAACCCCAAAGACCTTCCAGTGGCAAGGGTGGGACCTGTTAACGGACTTCAGCCCTCTTGCCCCCTCTCCTGTTGGCTGTTGAGGCCTGCTGACTTAGGGGCCCATTCCCTTGGCTGGAATGCTCTGGTCCCAAGGCCTCCAGGAGCCAGCACAGAGGACTTATCCCTGCACAAAGGAATGTGAGGAGGGAGTTAGGGGTAGTCAGGCTGAGAGACAGCTGGGTGGATGAACCGTGAGGGAGGGTGGGGCTCGAACGCCTTACTGAGCATCTGACAGGCCACTCAGGCCATCTGATTGATTTTGGGGCAGCATGAACCTGGCTGGTCCCTGTCACTCCACCCTGAGTTACTTCTCTCTGCTGCCCTAGCATGAGTCCCTGGGCTCTGCAGGGAACTCCGAGAGGGATCCCACAGAGTCCCTGCCCAGAGAGCCCAAGTTTGACATGTTGTACAAGATCGAGGATGTGCCACCCTGGTACCTGTGTATTCTGCTGGGCTTCCAGGTGGGTTTCCCCACAGGGCCTCCCCACCCCAATTCTGCATGCTCCCCAGGATCCTAGCCCGCTTCCTGGCCAAGTTTATCTTGGGTAACAGAAAGAGAAACTTAACAGTTTCAACAGCTGTGACTGTCCCAAGCTGGCATGGGGAGGGGGTTTCTGATGGGGCCTGAGAGATCTTCCCTGGGAATATGTGTCACCTGCCAGGCAGAATGTCAGTCACCAGGGGAGAGGACCCATTCCACAGAAGCCACAGGAATATTTGGGGGTGAATTAGTACCCCAAAGAGAGAGGTGAACGGTAGCTCTCTGGGAATCCTTATATGAGTCTTAGACCCGGGTGAGCACCTTGCCAGGGGCAGTGTGGGTTCAGGCCCCCTGAGGCAGGTGTGAGGATAGCTGTGGTCTCCCTGGTTCCCAGGGAGCTGCCTCACGCACTCTCCCTGCACCTAGCATTACTTGACATGCTTCAGTGGCACCATTGCTGTGCCCTTCCTCCTGGCTGAGGCACTGTGTGTGGGCCGGGACCAGCACATGGTCAGCCAGCTCATCGGGACAATCTTCACCTGCGTGGGCATCACCACCCTCATCCAGACCACACTGGGAATCCGGTAAGCTGCCCCGCCCCTGCCCCGCACCCCACTGTGAAAACACACACAGCAGGAGCAGGTGGTTTCTCTTGAGGGCTCCTTTGGGGGCAGGGTGGGGGGCGAGAAAGGTGCTAAGTGCCCCCACCTGCTCCTCCTACTCCCAAGCCAGCCTTAGAGCGAGGCAGCTGGGATCCTACCTTGGGGCCCTAAGCCCCCCAAAGGCAAAGAGTTGGTGGGTTTAAAGGAATGTACCCTTAGCTGGGCTCTCCCTGTTAAGCCCTACTTTGGTAATGAGGACCACCCACTCCCAGCTTTTAGGTTCTTTGTGGGCCTTTTCAACAGCCCATCCTCCTGGGGGCCCCCTGTCCCCGAGCTCACAGCTCAAGGTCTGGGTGGCCAAAAGATGGTTGTGTGGTGGGAGGATGGAGGAAGGTTGTGAGTGGACCTTGGGAGCAAGAGCTGAGCTGTCTACTTCCTTGCACGTGGCTCCTCACAGTGCAGGAGCTGAGAAGGAAAGGGGGAAGCTTGTGGACCAGGGACTCCATTTGTTTTCTTCCTTGGGCCCCCAGAATTAATAGTCCTGCCTGGGGCTGCAGTGACTTCTCTCAGGTCTGCCCTGTCCCTTGTCCATCTGTGTCTGCTTCTGGGTATGATTCTGTCTCCTTCTCTTGGTGCCGCTCTTTCCCCATCTCTCCTGTCTCTGTGTCCTTGCCCACCCCTGACCCCATCCCTGCCGCTCTGTGCCTCTCTGTCCAGGCTGCCGTTGTTCCAGGCCAGCGCCTTTGCATTTCTGGTCCCAGCCAAAGCCATCCTGGCCCTGGAGAGATGGAAATGCCCCCCAGAAGGTGGGCACACTTCTGGGGGCTATGTTGGAAAGGAGAGGCTCAGGATCACTGAGGTGCATTCATGGCAGCATCTTCTCTTTCTCTCTCTGTTCCCTGGCCATGTGTGTGTTCCTGTCTCTGCTCCCAGAGGATATCTACGGTAACTGGAGTCTTCCCCTGAACACCTCTCATATTTGGCACCCACGGATACGAGAGGTGGGTTTGCACCTGGGGTAGAAGAGACCTGGACCTGAGGAGGGGGCTAGATGGGAGAGGAGCCACTGCTGATTTGGAGGATTCAAGGTGGTGGTCCAGGAGCTTTTTTTTTTTTTTTTTTTTTTTTTTTTAATGTAGAGGAGATAGCCTCTATGTTATAGCTGGTCTTTGCTTTTCTAGGTCCAGGGTGCAATCATAGTGTCCAGCACGGTGGAGGTGGTGATCGGGCTGATGGGGCTGCCTGGGGCCCTGCTCAGCTACATAGGACCTCTCACGGTCACCCCCACTGTCTCCCTCATTGGCCTGTCTGTCTTCCAAGCTGCTGGTGACCGAGCTGGTTCCCACTGGGGCATCTCAGCTTGGTGAGCAGACACCAGGCCTGATCCTTGTCCAGCCTTAGCCCTTTCACCCCCTTCACGTCCTGTCCCTAGCCCAGCCTACCAGCCATCTTTCCTTTGTGCTTCTGCCCCCAGTTCCATTCTCCTGATCATCCTCTTCTCCCAGTACCTGCGTAACCTCACCTTCCTGCTGCCTATCTACCGCTGGGGCAAGGGCCTGACTCTCTTCCGCATCCAGATCTTCAAGATGTTTCCAGTGAGTGAGGAGATGACAGGCGGCTTGGGGCTGGGACTAGGGCAGGGGCTGGACTTGTGTCCAGGGCAAAGGTTGGGGGGCAGGTCCAGGACAGCAAAGGAGCTAGAGCCAGAGCACAGACGAGGTCCCAGTCAGGGGCCAGAGCAGGGATGGGGGCCCAGGCCTGAGCTAGGGCAGGGGCGGAGGCTAGGGTTGAGGTAGGGGCTGGTTACCCCTGGACCAAGACCTCCCAGACCCTCAGTGCTCTCCTCACCCCACCCCACTTCAGATTGTGCTGGCCATCATGACCATGTGGCTGCTCTGCTACATCCTGACCCTGACAAACGTGCTGCCCTCAGACCCCACAGCTTATGGCTTCCAGGCGCGGACAGATGCACGAGGGGACATCATGGCTATTGCACCCTGGATCCGCATTCCCTACCCCTGTGAGCCACCCCACCTGGCCCCCTCTGCCTCCAGCTGAGACCATCTAAGGGGCCCCTGATGACACCAATCCAGTTGACGACATAATGAGCATTAGGTGCACATTTCTAGTGTGCCAGAGTGTTTTCCTCAAAGCCTCACTCCAGCTTCACAACTCTGAGGGATCCCAAATGAGCTCTCAGGACTGTCTAGCCCCCACCCCAGCTCGAGGTCCCTTCACCCCCCTCATCCCCCCACATACTGCCCAGTCCCTTCCCTGGCCCACCCAGCGGCACTGCATCCCCCCTCTCCTATCTCCTCCTGATCCAGGTCAGTGGGGCCTGCCCACAGTGACTGTGGCTGCTGTCCTGGGAATGTTCAGTGCCACACTGGCAGGCATCATCGAGTCCATCGGAGATTACTATGCTTGTGCCCGCCTGGCGGGTGCCCCACCCCCTCCTGTACATGCCATCAACAGGTATGGCCACCTGCCCTCTCCCGCATCTGATCCTCTCAGATGCGAGGGGCCACTCGGGAAGCAAATGCAGGGACATGGTGGAGACCCAAAAGTGTGAACTTGGTCAAGTACTAATACTTTCAAGACCTTGTTCTCCATACTTATGAAATGGGGATGCTCTCATCATTCAGTCTGAGTGCTTTGAGTCGCTGAGGTAATGAAGCCTAAGGGAAACTATTTGACAATCTTCAACGTGCCTGGCCCTCCATGTGCATTTTCCTATGCAGTCTACTAACTATTCTGAGACAGGTACCCTTATTATCCGCATTTTACAGACGAGGAAACAGAAGCCCAGAGTCACCTAAGGGAGTAAGTGCTAGGGCACTGGGACTAGTGCTTGGATGTGGGCTCTTGGCTCCCCGACCTACTTCTGGCCTGTAGTGGGGAGTACTACAGACAGACAGTTGCAGCTTATACTGTCCCCAAGAAGGCATGCAGCCTGCCCAGGGCGAGGGGAGGACACAAGCCAGGGCAGAGGCTGGACCAAGCCCCCAACTCACCCTTTCCTTATAGGGGTATCTTCACCGAAGGCATCTGCTGCATTATCGCAGGGCTGCTGGGCACAGGCAACGGGTCCACGTCGTCCAGCCCCAACATTGGCGTTCTGGGGATTACCAAGGTGCCACATGCCAGAGCCGCACAAAGTGCCCCCCCCCACCATTCCTGTACTGCAGCCCCACCCAACCTATGAGCCATCCAACCCCACAATGAGCCTGGGGCCCTTTCATGCGCTTTTGTGACAGGCCCTGCCTGCCTTCCCTCCGCAAGCTCAGCCTCCCAGGTCCGCTCCAGGGCCTAACCCTAGCCCCGGCTCCCATGCAGGTAGGCAGCCGGCGTGTGGTGCAGTACGGTGCGGGGATCATGCTCGTCCTGGGCACAAGTGGCAAGTTCACCGCCCTTTTTGCTTCACTCCCTGACCCCATACTGGGGGGTATGTTCTGCACCCTTTTTGGTGAGTGGTGTGTAGCCAGTGGGTGGGGGTGGGAGGCGCTCTGCGGTGGAGGAGCCCACCCTGCCTGTGGGGCAGCTCCAGCAGTTATCCTGCACCCTCAGGCATGATTACGGCTGTGGGGCTATCCAACTTGCAGTTCGTGGACATGAACTCCTCCCGCAACCTGTTCGTGCTCGGATTTTCCATGTTCTTCGGGCTCACGCTGCCCAATTACCTGGAGTCCAACCCTGGCACCATCAACACAGGTACCCCCACTAGTCAGAATGTCTGGGGGTGGGGGAGGTGTAGTGGGCTCTGGGCATGGGTCTTTCCCTCAAAGGCACTCTGCGACAGCCACAGATCCTGCCCAACCCTGGATGTGAAGCAGAAGCTGAGAAGTGAATGAGCAGCTGTCCTTTACTGAGACACTTTCTATGGACAGGCATGGAGCTTTACCTGTGCTCATTTAATATGTACAACAGTTCCTCAAGACAGATACTACTGTCCTGTCCACGTGACAGAGGAGGAAAGTGAGGCTCAGAGAAGTTAAATGATGTGTCCCAAGACAACAAACTTGGGATTATAGGTGTGAACGTTGGGATTTGTACCCTTTCATCTCCATGCCTGCTCAAAGAAGTCAACAAGCTGCACAACTGGGAACAAAGTCCCTGAGCTCTGTCTCCAGAAGCCAAGATGCCCACTGGCCCTTGGCCTATTCCACAGGCATTCCTGAAGTGGACCAGATTCTGACTGTGCTGCTGACCACAGAGATGTTCGTGGGTGGGTGCCTCGCTTTCATACTGGACAACACAGTGCCAGGTATGGGTCAGCCCTGGGAGAGACACACAAGACTAGGCTGGGCTCATCTGCACTCCAGCAGATGGCCCCACAACCACAAGTGTGGCCAGGACCCAGGCAATGAGGGCCCTGCAAAGAGAAGCAGGGCCACTTGGGCTAAAGAGACCACTGGCTGGACAGAGGCACAGAAATGCTCTACAGGTCTTGAAGAGGGTGGGTCTAGGGGAGTCATTCCCCAGCCCTGTGAGTTGTTTCCTCTCCATTTCTTGATAGCCACCAGGGGAAGGGTGCCTTTGGGAGCCTTTGCTTTCTTCCATTAGGCCAGATATAAATGAAGCATCAATCTGGGTGCTAAAACCCACTCCAAATATGCCAGCAACCCATCACGCTTGACTACTAGGAGAGCCCCTAACATTCTCTTTGGTATCAGGGTTTTCACAGGGATTGTGGGGGAAGGATACTTAGTGTGGGCCCCTGAGAACCCCTCCGGCCAATGTTTAGATGTCCTGCAAAATATAAAAACCAAATGCCACCAATTGTATTGAGTAATGAATTTTCCATGTTCTAATGAGTAACAAGCATAGTTAACATTTACCAAACATTTACTATGGGTCAGGCATGAAACTATGTCTCGCTTCACTCTCAAAAACCATCCTGTTAGGCAGAAACGATCAACACCATTTCGCAAGGAAACAGAATCACAGATGTTAAGTGACTCACCAACGTTCACAATGTTTGCAGATTTAAAAGGTCGCAAATCTGAGATTCTAACAAAGTCCATTGGATGCAGTCTATGGCTTGTGTCCCAGCCACTGCACCATACTGCCTCTGTTGGAGGGTTTCAGGGGAACTGGAAGACCAGGGAAAGCTCTGTGGAGGCAGAGGTTAAAAACTGCATCAGTCCAGGGAGATGAGGGATGGGAGCAGCAGGATGATGGTCCTCCATCCCTCACCACTTACCAGCCTAAACACAGCTGCAGGGTTGGAGCATGGGCAGGAAGGGCCTAGGTGCCATGGCCCTTTTAGGGATTTTAGCATCAGATGATGTGATAACTCTTGGTAGCAGCTACCCCAAGGACTAATGGGAGGTACCTGCCCCTCCCCATTCAGAGAAAGCCAGGCTGCGGACCAGAGGTAAAGAAGTGGCAGCCTCAATGCCCAGGGAATATGGGGAGATGGAAGGCCTCAGGTGGACAGCTGTATACAGAGGGGCTTCTTTGTGATCTGGATAGCTGGATTAAGCTACCCAGATGTTAACAGCCTCAGACTGCATGAGGTCCTCACATCCCCATCCTTCAACCCAACTGCCTATCAGCAACCATCTCTTCCAGGGATCATTATATGTTGTGCTACAAAATCCTCAGTAGTCCTTCAATGTACATTGATGAATCTGAAGCTTGAGTGGTCAAATCACTTGCCTAAGGTCACGCAACCTGAATTCACACCCAGGTCTGGCCAAATCAGAATTCCTTAATTATGGAATCACATATTTTCTTCTGTGTGATGGCATTTTGCTGATGGGCCGCTTTGCATTTGCTCTTTCCCCATCTACAACCCAAACTTAGAAGGGCAAATTAGCTCAGCAAATGCTAGTGGGGCTAGTAGAACCCCCCCTTCCTCTAGATTTACACTGCATCATTCTTCTTCCACCCCAGTCCTCTTGTGAAAACCTGAGACCTCAGGCACCCCTCCCCTACCTCCTGAGGGAGCATTCCCCTAGATGTAAATAATCTTTTGTGTATCCATACTACCAACAAAGATTTTACTTGGCTTGACTCTGAGGTTTGTATTATAAAAATGAGTTTATTTTCCAAATATGGATTCCTAATATTGAATATTAATACTGATTATAGTGTTTCTCAATAGCCCTCCTTGACCCCAAAGCAGACTGGGCACTATTGGTCCTCATCAGCTTAGCACATACTATCCCCATACTAGAGATGTTAAGTTGCCAATTAACCTTTCTGCCTGTTTCTTCATAAAAATATGTATAATAGTGCCTGTATACCTTCCACAGTTATGTTTTTTATTTATTTATTTATTTTTTATTCATTTGACAGAGAGAGAGATCACAAGTAGGCAGAGAGGCAGGCAGAGAGAGAGGGAAGCAGGCTCACCGCTGAGCAGAGAGCCCGATGCGGGCTCAATCCCAGGACCCTGAGATCATGACCTGAGCCGAAGGCAGAGGCTTAACCCACTGAGCCACCCAGGTGCCCCCACAGTTATGTTTTGAAGAAATGAGATGATGAAATTAAAGCACTTAGCACAGAGCCTGGCACACTACAGATACACAATAGATACTAATTAGAATCAGTATTACTTTTAGGGTTTCCTAGAGTTCTGACCATGTTAAGATCTGAGAAATCATGGATTCAGTAACCTTCCAGTCCCAGAAAATACTTGAGAATGAAGACAATAGATTCCAGAAATCTGTCTCAGGACTAGGTTATGGAGGTATGGAACGGAGATAGTGGAGGGCTGCTGGCCCTGACAACCTCACTGTTCTATTTCAGGGAGCCTAGAAGAACGAGGTCTGATACAGTGGAAAGCTGGGGCCCATGCCAACAGTGAGATGTCCACCAGCCTCAAGAGCTATGACTTCCCCATTGGGATGAACATTGTAAAAAGGATTGCCTTTCTGAAATACATTCCTATCTGCCCAGTCTTCAAAGGATTTTCTTCAAGGTCGAAAACCCAGCCTCCAGTTTCAGAAGACATTCCAGAAAATATACAAACTGGATCTGCATGCACCAAAGTCTAAAAAATTACTCCTAGTAAAGGTAGGATGTGTGTTAAGACTGTCTTTTGTAGGAGGGTTAAAAAAAAAAAACAAACCACAATATTTTTATACTTTAACCAAAGAAAAACAAAACTACTCAGCTTCTATTTTTGTGACCTATTTGACTGTCTTTAAGGGAAAGGTACACTGTGTAAAACGTCAATATACAGATTTTGAGTGCAATTCCTTAACCATTTCATAATGAGAGTAGAACTTTCCAACTGGTGTGGGTCACTAAGAGGTTACAAGTATGCTGACGTATTGACCCCTTTAGCCTTCTGGGTGTCTATGCAGGAAATGAGTCAACTTCAGCCCTTGAGCCATAAACTCTAGCCACAGGTAGCCCCATCTGTGTACTCCAGTATGCTAAAAACAAAACAGAACCCAAAAGCCCATAACACTTTATGACATGAAATAGGTTGAGAAATACACTGCACAAAACAGGAAACTTTCTCTCATATATGCTGCCTTGTTTCAGTAGTGATAACATAAAAATCCCTAAAATCGTAACAGGATGACTTCAATTACCCTAAAACTATGCCACATGGGCGTGATGGGATGATCTGTCCAAAGTGCTTCAAAATGGAATAGCTGATGCTCTCAAACTTTCCATCTCTACCTGTAATGCAGATGCCTGACTCTCCAGTTAAACAGCTAAGTAGTTTTAATGTGCAGTTTCCCTAAAAAATCAAGAAAAGTTCCAACAGGGCACCTGGGTGGCTCAGTGGGTTAAGCCCCTGACTTTGGCTCAGTTCATGATCTCAGGGTCCTGGAATTGAGTTCCGCACCGGGCTCTCTGCTCAGCAGGGAGCCTGCTTCCTCCTCTCTCTCTGCCTGCTTCTCTGCCTACTTGTGATCTCTGTCAAATAAAAAAATAAAATCTTTAAAAAAAAAAAAAAAGAGTAGTTCCAACAAAATGAGAGCTAAGCCTACAACATAGCTTTCTTGTAAAAATAATCACTTAGGGGCACCTGGGTGGCTCAGTAGGTTAAAGCTTTTGCCTTCAGCTCAGGTAGTGATCCCAGGGTCCTGGGATCCTGGGATCGAGCCCCACATCTCTTGGGCTCTCTGCTCGGCGGGAAGCCTGCTTCCCCCCATCTCTCTGCCTGCCTCTCTGCCTACTTGTGATCTGTCAAATACATAAATAAATAAATCTTTAAAAAAAAAAATCACTTGGGGCGCCTGGGTGGCTCAGTAGGTTAAAGCTTTTGCCTTCAGCTCAGGTAGTGATCCCAGGGTCCTGGGATCCTGGGATCGAGCCCCACATCTCTTGGGCTCTCTGCTCGGCGGGAAGCCTGCTTCCCCCCATCTCTCTGCCTGCCTCTCTGCCTACTTGTGATCTGTCAAATACATAAATAAATAAATCTTTAAAAAAAAAATCACTTGGGGCGCCTGGGTGGCTCAGTGGGTTAAGGCCTCTGTCTTCGGCTCAGGTCATGATCCCAGGGTCCTGGAATCGAGCCCCACATCGGGCTCTCTGCTCTGCGGGGAGCCTGCTTCCTCCTCTCTCTCTCTCTGCCTGCCTCTCTGCCTACTTGTGATCTCTGTCTGTCGAATAAATAAATACAATCTTTAAAAAAAAAAAAAATCACTTAAGCAGAACTTTCTATGTACCAGGGACTCTCGTAAGTGCTTAAATAACTACAGACTCCTGAGACAGACACTGTTATTACCGCCATTTTATTTTTAAATTTTATTTTTTCAATAATTTTTTAAAAAAGATTTTAGGGGTGCCTGGGTGGTTCAGGTTAAACCTCTGGTTAACCCTCTGCTTTCGGCTCAGGTCATAATCTCAGGGTCCTGGGATCAAGCCCCACATCGGGCTCTCTGCTCAGTGGGGGAGCCTGCTCTCCCCCCGCCACTGCCTGCTTCTCTGCCTACTTGTGACCTCTGTCAAAGAAATAGGTAAAGTCTTAAAAAAAAAAAAAAGTTAAAAAAAAAAAGATTTTATTTGAGAGAGAGAGTACAAGTAGAGGGAGGGGCAGAGAGAGAAACAGACTCCTCACTGGGCAGGGAGCCTGACTTGAGGCTCAATCCCAGGACCCCAAGATCATGACCTGAGCCAAAAACAGATGCCTAACCAACCAAGCCACCCAGGTGCCTCTTTATTTTTTTTTACTAATAGCCACACCCAGCATGGAGCTCAAACTCACAACCCTGAGATCAAGAGTCATGTGCTCTTCCAACTGAGCCAGCCAGGTGCCCCTGTTAATACAACCATTTTAAACAGGTGGAAACTAAGGCATAGAATGGTTAAGTGACTTGTCCATGATCACTGGATTCACATCCAGAAGTCTGGCTAGTCTGTGCTCTTAACCATTAGGTTACAATGCCTAATTCAGGTTTATAATCTCCAATTACACTACACTATGGCAATCTGGCACTATGTGGAAATTAACTCATTTGCCCCCGCCTGAGCTTAGAGAGAGAGAATCTGTAAGCCTTATACATTTGGCAGCCGGCTGTGTCACTTGCGGTACTTAACTATTAAAGACAGAGGGGACTGGCTGAATCATGACTCCAAAAACTTTGTTTCAGAGTTTCTTAAAGATCTACCTATTTTGGGGTGCCAGGTTGGCTCTGTCAGAACATGTAACTCTTTGATCTCAGGGCTGTCAGTTTGAGCCCATGGGGATCAAGAATCTCATGCTCGGGGCGCCTGGGTGGCTCAGTGGTTAAGGCCTCTGCCTTCGGCTCAAGTCATGATCTCAGGGTCCTGGGATCGAGTCCTGCATCGGGCTCTCTGCGCAGCAGGGAGCCTGCCTCCTCCTGTCTCTCTCTGCCTGCCTCTCTGCCTACTTGTGATCTGTCAAATAAATTAAAAAAAAAAAACAAAAAAAAAAAAAAAAAAAAAAAAAAAACAAAACAATCTCATGCTCTACTGACTGGGCCAGACAGGCACCCCAAAATTACTAAAAACAACAACAAAAAACCTACCTGTTTAGTTTATTTAAGGGAGCTACTAAAAAACACTAGGGCACCTGGAAAACCAAAGGACCACCCCCGACCCTTCCCTGGAGAATGTGAGTCAGAACAGACTACATGGCCTTTTTAATTTTTGAGCCCAACAAACTCAAGAAAAGCACAGAGGGCATTATCAACAACTAAGTAGGACCATGAAGCAGAATTGTATGGCAGAACCAGAGAACTGCTAAATGGTTGACAGCCTATCCCAAAATAAAGATTAGCCACAAACATTATAAATAAGCTTGTGAGGGGAAAACAGGGATGGTCCAGGTAATCAAAATAGCAAACCAGTCCAATCAGACCAGCATGGCTTGTGACAGGCAGAAGCCAAAGGTGATTATACTAGAGTAAGGTTACTATTATACTGGTCAGTCAAAAAGTTTCTTAACATGGATATCTACAACTGCCCTGACACTGACTGCAGCCCGAAGCAATCAAGGTGGGTTACAGAAGGGGATGCAGGCTTTATTTTACTACTGTATTTTGGACAGATACACGCATAAGGACACACCTGACACTCTGGAATCGAATAAAGCCTGCTCTCAGCAAATCTTGCCAGCAGGGTTGTCCTGAAGTACTGAGCCCACACTAAAGTGAGTATCAATCACCACAGGAGAGTCTGCATTCCAGCACCAAGAAACACAAGCATCAGCTCAGTTCTACTGTTATTTATTTTTTTAAATATTTTTGAAAAAATATAATTTTTTTACAATATTTTCAACTTAAACACTATTCACACTGAACACGTATGGCAGCTTAACCTACCCAAGTATGAAGTTTAAGAAGCCAAAACTGTTCTAGCTTTGTTAAAAGAAAAGTTGTGCTGTAGACTATTGTAGTGATGGTTAACAAAGCAAGGAAAAGCACCACTCAAATTATGTTACCATTACTTTGTTCAGGGGATTATGATGGGTCAAATGTTTGCACTTCACATAGGCACAGCTATGATACAGTGACTCCTCAGAAGAAGATGCAGTTCTCAAATTACATACTTCCTCAGATGTAACATTAGAAGAACTACTTCTTAGGTGAAAAAAACCATCGAAGCCAGGACTAGTTATCATCTGATTACTACCCTTATAACCTCAGTAACCAAAGACATACTTGTCTATAAAGAATTATTTCAAATTAACAAGGCCTTCTTCAGAAAAAGGAGATCCTTTTTGATAGTTACAAATGCAAACTGAAGTCTGAACTTAGAAATATACCTAACAACTAGAACTTAATTTAAATGTACTCATTTTTAAAAAGTTTAGACATCAACAAGCATTCGCTAACCCTAAGGGACTAGTTTAGCCTCAAAAAAGACAATTCACTAAGATTTAGAGGTCATTTTAATTTGGTGCTTTGTCACTTTGACTGGTGCTTCTTTCCTCGCTGTCTTCACATCAAGCCATGGGGCCAATCCTATTTTCAGTAAATGTTTGACAGCTTATTACTTAATAACAGTCTCAGCACTTTTATTAAGCATGCAAGACTAACAAAACTTTGGCAATGCATAAGTGTAACACAGTGACAAGAGAGAGCTTTTACAATTAAGTCTTCTAATACTGCCTTCACAGTGTGGAAATTGTGCTACATCCACCAAAAGAGGGCCCCGTCTACTCAAATATTTTAGTACTTCACCCCAGGAACAAACTCCTTTGCATTTGGATTCAGATTGCTCTTGACCTGGAAAATAAGTACATAAAAAAAAAAAGCAAATTCATTAACAGATGGCTTCAGATATTTAGAAGTATTCAACCCAGATCCACATGCAAAAATATCTTCCAAAAAATATAAAACAAAAGAACTCAGATTGTAAGGTTAAACTTAACCCCCAAAATCTATCTATAGCAGGGAAAGAAAGAACCAGAGATAAACTATGTATTTATATGAAAATTTATCACCTTCTAAAATGAAAGTAGGAACTGAAATTAAGTTTGCTAAAGGGTAACCAGAAACCCACTAACTTCACACAAACTGAAAAGGTGTCACAGAATGAGGAATTCTGTTCATTTAACTATTTGATTTTAACCATTTCATACTACGCAAAAATATTAAACAAGGGTTGAAATGATGATTAAAGTAGATTGGAGAATTGTTTATGGATTAATTTTGCTCATGATCCTCACTAAAAACATGGAGTTATCTTTCTAAAATTGCTGTATTCTAATTCCCACAGGAAGCAAGGTTTGTAACAGGAAAAGAAAACTACATGGGGAATCAGAAGACCAAAGATGGAATTTCGTCACTGTTCTAACTAGCTTCCTATGAAAGGCTGGATAAGTCACTTTCTCTGGGACTCTTAAAAGAAGAATGGGCCAAAGTCTCTAAGAGCCACCATTCTATACCTCTAAATCTTTATTTTCCTAGACAGACATGTCAGTATACTGAGAATAGCTAGAAATTTGCCTCCACCACAGTTGACAAAAGATGAAAAGAAATCAAGATGTATTCCAGGCCCTGAAATGTAGGAATGCTGAGAGGCTTTTAGAGGGAATCTGAACCCCCTATATCACTTACTTCAAGACCAAAGCATATTAAATAACATGTTGGAGCAATAATTTAATTTTAGTTTCATAATTATACACAACCATTTCCTTGGACAGGACATACATAGTCTCACTTCTCTCAAGTGAATTATTTTTTTCTTTTTTTTTTTTTTTAATATTTTTTATTTGTTTATTTTGAGAGAGAGAGAGAGAGAGAGAGTGAGAGAGAGCATGAGAGGGGAGGTCAGAGGCAGAAGCAGACTCCCCATGGAGCTGGGAGCCCGATATGGGACTCGACCCCAGGGCTCTGGGACCATGACCTGAGCTGAAGGCACTTGCTTAACCAACTGAGCCACCCAGGCGCCCCACAAGTGAATTATTTCTAAACTTTAAAGTCTGAGGTTTAAATTAAAAAGCAGTGTTCTTCAATGTGTCTTTTGGCAGCTACAAAAGAATGAGAAGGAATTAACATAATTTCAAATAAACCAAGTCGAGTCGAACAAACCAGTTTCTAGGCAATTATACTGGGTCCATATTAAAGTTATATATTATGGGGCACCTGGGTGTCTCAGTGGGTTAAGCCTCTGCCTTCGACTCAGGTCATGATCTCAGGGTCCTGGGATCGAGCCCCGCATTGGGCTCTCTGCTCAGCAGGGAGCCTGCTTCCCCTCTCTCTCTGCCTACCTGTGATCTCTCTGTCAAATAAACAAAATCTTTGAAAAAATTTAAAAAAAAAAAGTTATACATTATGACCAGCAGGACTTTACTCATCAGAGTAACCAGGATTATTTGTGGAATGACTAATGCAGGCATAAGCAAGCATATCTCAATGGACTATTCATATCACACATCTGCTCAACTGGGTTACTGTCATTTACTGCAACAAGTCTATACTACAATGTAAATTTCTATGTTCTTCAAATAGCCCTTTAGAAGAATGGTTCCCAAATGCCTGATGGGGCAGGCTGGCAGTATGCACTAGGAGTGCTTTTTAAAATTCAGCATGCCTAGACAACTGATTCTACAAGTCTGGGATGTAGCTGAGGGACTTATTTTTCTTTTTAATGTTTCACAGGTAATTATGATGTATCGCCAGGGTAGGAAATCACTGCACAGTGAAAAGACAACAACTGCAAAAAATATTTCAGAGTCTAGGAGTAAATTCCAAAGAACTATCTGGTAAAAGCAATTAGAGATTGTCAATATGGTCAGAAAGGTCAACATTAGGACTTCAAATCATTTTATCTTAATTTTAGCAAACAACTCTTCAGGTTCTACCCTTGTACTAATGTTTATTTGTCATAATTCCTAAAAATACCTTTTACTGCAAATATACCATTCCCAGCAACAAAACATGGAAAATAGATAAAAATGCGAATAAGTTTGTGTTCCTTTTCTGCCAAGAGCTTATAAAAGTCCCTATTAAATCCCAGTTCTAAATGGGAGTTAGTGTAACTCAATGAAAATCTTGGGTCAGGGGAAAAAAAAATCCAAATTTTCACCTTTCAGATAAAATTTTGAAAATCTCGCCAAATGTTTAAGGCAAAATTAAAGAGCAAAACCTCTTTATCAAGCTACTTTTGTACAGGCAAGTCACATGGACATACTGTATACTTCTTTTGGATTAATGCTTTAAGATATTTACATATCCCAGGACAACACAGTTATTAAAACTAAAAGCAACTGCAAGAAGTTTGTTAGTCTGCAAGAAGTTTGTTAGTCTGAGACTAGCCCCAGAGTGTCGTCAGAAGTCACTCCAAGTCATAAGTGAGGAGGAGACCAGGAGGCTCCTGCTTCCATAGTAAGAAGCAGTAAAATTTCCGAAGGGGAAGAAACTTGTAGAACTCTTCTTAAACAGATGACTGCTGGCTTTTCCACTTATGGGAAGGATGAGCTAGTTTTTAAAAAGATGAAAAATAACTTTACCACAAGATCTTCCAGAGAAGAGCCATCACTGATAACAAGGTCATTAAATTGGTCTTGGATTTGGTCCATAGTTTGTGGGAGATCTCGAGCTGGAATAAACCACTCATGTTCTTCTTCTTCCTCCAGCATTTCTTGGAAGCAACGTTCAATAAATTCTTCTTCCCATAACTCCTCTTCTATCTGGATTTATAATATATAAAGGGTAATTTATAGAACATTTGGTAAAGCATCACTAGGAACAGCTTAAAATATCTTGAATTAAAGCACTTAAAACCACAATATTGTAACATTCTCCTCTGCTTCTGTGCCAAGAAAAAGAAACATTTACCACAAGACTAGGGAAGAAGGAGTTTGTGGTCTTTGTCTTAGCAGAATATTCTTTTTTCTACTTAGAGTGATGAGAAAGTAATAAATAAAGGAGTGTTTTCACTGAGGAATTTGTCAGAATTACCTGTGATACTTTAAAACTACACAAACCCTAACCCAACCCAAAAATGACTAAAATTCTATAGAAGGTAGGGTTGGGGCATGGGTAATTAAAAACAAACCAAAAACAGATTTATGGTAAAATCAAACTGGCTACTGATTACCAAAGCCACAATCAGGGACGAACTAGACACAAGATGGAAACAGATGCCAGAAATATGGGAATAAAAGACCACATTATCAATGTAAGAGCACAATCTAAAGGTAAAAGTGGTGTCAGGATTTAAGGCTTATCAAATTAAGAACCTCAAGAGAAAAAAATAGCACAATTCTGTACGTTAGTACCTATGCCCATCTGCTCCTGATTTATATTCTCTTAAGAGCAATCTGGCTGATGCAAGCAGTAGTTTCCAAACCTAACTGCACAATGGAACCATCTGGGAGGGTTTTTTTTTTTTTTAGTTTTAGTTTTATTTTTTATTTTAAATTAATTAATTATTATATATAATTAATATTAATAAAATTTTATTTTATTTTATTTAGTTTTATTTTTTATTAATCTCTACACCCAACATGGGGCTTGAACTCACAAACCTGAGATCAAGAATCCCAATGCGACTGAACCAGGCAGGTGTCCCCGGATCTGGGAGCTTTTAAAAAAGTTTTCCAGGCTCCACCCCAGTACTCCTGAATGAGAATATCTGGTGTGGGACCCTGCAAAAAGCTCCCTAAGTTATTTCAGTGAGCAGATAAACCTGGTAGTAATCAGCATTCAAATAAAATAGGAGTGGTGGCATATAAATCCATATATATAAGGGACCAGATGAAAAACAAACTACAGGGACAAGTACAACCAAATTGCGGGCTGTCATGGGCTATGAGAAAGATCATGTTTGTACACAAAACTAACCTGTCTGTTGAATTCCTCTTCATTTTCCATCCACATGTACTCTGCAAATGGATTGTCATCTTCATGAGAATGACCATTAATAATCACATCTTCATTGATGATGCTTGGGCTAGTACTGCTGCGACTTGGATCTTTCATGGCTGGCGTTAGTTGTCGTTTTTAACCTTCAAAGAAGAATAGTTAATTTTGTCAGTCATTCTTTCAGTTCTTTTTTTTTTTTATAATTTTATTTATTTATTTCACAGAGAGAGATCACAAGTAGGCAGAGAGGCAGGCAGAGAGAGAGACAGAGGAGGATGCAGGTTCTCCACTGAGCAGAGAGCCCGATGCAGGACTCGATCCTAGGACCCTGAGATCATGACCTGAGCCGAAGGCAGAGGCTTAACCCACTGAGCCACCCAGGCGCCCCAGTCATTCTTTCAGTTCTTAACTAACGTCTGTCACCACCAGGCATCACAGTTAGGTACCAGATGCACGTGATATATCAAGCAATTGGAAAGCTTCAGTTTTTTTCTCAAATGATCTTAATGTTTAAGAAATAGCTGCAACAGCCTAGATTCATCTAGTATTTTCTGGTAACCATCGACGGTAATCAACTCTTTGAACATAACTCCCAAATCATCTGATTTTTAAAATATTAGATATGCCTTGCTTTATAAAATAAGCATGATGTGGAAGACTTAAGTCACTAAAAGTTACTTTATGAAAAGCAAATTCAGGGGCGCCTGGGTGGCTCAGTGGGTTAAAGCCTCTGCCTTCGGCTCAGGTCATGATCCCAGGGTCCTGGGATCGAGCCCCACATCAGGCTCTCTGCTCTGCGGGGAGCCTGCTTCCTCCTCTCTCTCTCTGCCTGCCTCTCTGCCTACTTGTGATCTCTGTCACATACATACATACAAACATACATACATACATAAATAAATAAATAGAAAAAAAGAAAAGCAAATTCAACTTTTAAAAACTGGTATCAAAAAGCCCAGAGACTGCAAATGAAAACAGACTTTTTTTAAAAAAAGATTTTATTTATTTGACAGACAGAGAACAAGAGAGGGAACACAAGCAGGAGGAGAGGGAGAAAGAGAGGCTTCCCCCTGAGTAAGGAGCTCAACGCAGGGCTCAATCGCAGGACTCTGGGATCATGACCCAAACCAAAGGCAGACACTTAATGACTGAGCCACCTAAGCGCCCTGAAAACAGATTTTAATAACCTCTTGGTTCCTCAGTTCCAAGGAACAGAGTGCTCTGGATCTTTTATTCTTTTTTTTTTTTTTTTTTTTTAAGATTTATTTATTTGAGAGAGAGAGAGAAAGAGGGGGAAAGAATCTCAAGCAGAATCTGTGCTGAATGTGGAACCTGGGCTCAATCTCACAACCCTGAGATCATGACCTGAGCTGAAACTAAGAGTCGGAGGCTTAATCAACTGAGCCATCCTTTTACTATTCTGGATCTTTGACTTCATAGCATACTCTCTATTTGCTTTATCTCTGTCAAGTCCCTCCATGTCTGGATTTGTCCACTGTACAATGAGTGTCAAGCATCTAATCTATGCAATATGCATGGTTTTAAATGAGATATTATCTACAGACTTTTTCTCTTTAAAGATTTTGAGAGAGCAAGTGTGAGAGAGATCATGGGCAGGGGGGGGTAGAGGGAGAAACAGACTGACCACTGAGCAGGGAGCCCAATGTAGGACACCATCCCAGGACTCTGGGATCATGACCTGAGCCAAAAGCAAAACACTTAACCAACTAAGCCACCCCGGTGCCCCTACAGACTCCCTCTTAAACTCTTTTATTACTTTTATAGTATGTAATAAGTATCTTTCCATGAAAGTTGATGAAACTCCCCTGCTGACAGAAAAACTTCCAGACTAAGTAAAAATGAATTTTCCAGAAGAAAAATGACGGAACATCACAAGTTCACAGTAAAGGGTACATCAAGAAAATGCAACTTTGGGAAGCAGAGAGTTTATTATTATTAACCTCAGCATTCAAGGCATAAAGTAAAACTCATTATGACGGTCTCAGTGAGGGGGATCCCCCATAACAATGTGAAAGCTATACCTCAAATGAAGTTCCCTAATTTTCCTCCTTGGTTCTCTCTCATCTCCTCCATGAACCATTCCATCGGCATCTCCATCTATCATGTCAAGGTTACTGATAAGCCTACTGGACATATCCTCTCTAACAACATTGTTGGGGGGGCCAACCCACTCTAATACTTCCTCCAGGCTCCCACCTCCGAAAGGGTGGGCTTCTTCTTCATTGCACACTGCTCTTCTCCTTTGCCTTCCTGGAGGACACTTTCCATCTTGAGATTGTTTTTCTGCTTCCTCTTTCTGCAGGGATCAGAAGCAGTCTTCCTAGCTTAGCCCTGAAATCTGCTGCACCAATGGACCTAAAGACCTGCTACCGATCAGGGTCAGCTTCTGTGACTTCCTCCTTCCATGGGCTACAGGCTCATCAGTCTTCAAGACAATAGCAAACCCCCGCACAGCCACAAACAACGAACAGACTCCAACTAGCTCAAGCATCCAATCTCTTTTTATATGAGTAAAAGCAGAGCAGATTCTTATACACTACTCAATAGGTGGTAACATGACCTAACCCAGCTGATATATTGGTGGCTCAAAGTTTGAAGCAGGGGTGCCTGGGTGGCTCAGTCGTTGGGCATCTCCCTTTGGCTCAGGTAATGATCCCAGGGTCCTGGGATTGAGCCCTGCATTGGGCTCCCTGCTCCACAGGAAGCCTGCTTCTCCCTCTCCCATTCCCTGATTGTGTTCCCTCTCTCACTGTCTCTTTCTCTGTCAGATAAATAAATAAAATCTTTAAAAAAAATAAAACAAAAGTTTGAAGCGTAAGTTTCAGATTCTAATTGTAGAAATAAAATTGCTAAACCTGGGCTTACATTTAACAAGAGTCATTTGCATATAAAATCAAACAGCAGTGTGACTGGCACCAAAGGGAGGAATCAGCATACCTAGCATGAGGACAGAGTTTTAAAAATCTTAAGGCCGGGGTGTCTGGGTGGCTCAGTGGACTGAGCCGCTGCCTTCAGCTCAGGTCATGACCTCAGTGTCCTGGGATCGAGACCTGCATCAGGCTCTTTGCTCAGCGGGGAGCCTGCTTCTCTCTCTCTCTCTGCCTGATTCTGCCTACTTGTGATCTGTCAAATAAATAAATAAAAATCTTAAAAAAAAAAAAAATCTTGGGGACCTGGGTGGCTCAGTGAGTTAAAGCCTCTGCCTTCGGCTCAGGTCATGATCCCAGAGTCCTGGGATCGAGTCCCACATCAAGCTCTCTGCTCAGCAGGGAGCCTGCTTCCCCTCTCTCTCTCTGCCTGCCTCTCTGCCTACTTGTGATCTCTGTCAAATAGATAAATAAAATCTTTAAAACCTGGGGAATCTGCATGGCTCAGTCAGTTAAGCATTCAACTCTTGATCTGGGCTCTGGTAATGATCTCAGGGTCGATATCAAGCCCCAAGTCAAACTCACAACCCTGATATCAAAGATCACATACCCTACTGACTGAGCCAGCCAGGTGCCCCTTCTTTAGATTCATTTCATGGACTTATCCTTAAGACTGTGTTAGTATAGGGGCACCTGGGTGGCTCAGTGGGTTAAAGCCTCTGCCTTCGGCTCAGGTCATGATCCCAGGGTCCTGGGATCCAGCCCCACATCGGGCTCTCTGCTCAGCGGGGAGCCTGCTTCCTCCTTTCTCTCTGCCTGCCTCTCTGCCTACTTGTGATCTCTGTCAAATAAATAAATAAAATCTAAAAAAAAAAAAAAAAAAAGACTGTGTTAGTATAATAAAAACTCATACCATTCATATGATATGAATTTAATCTCTTAAGCTGAGGGGGGGGCGGTTTCCTAGCCTGACACACACAAGTATATTCTGAAATACTGACTACTACTTACAATACCATCATGGTAGTGACATTTTTAGTTAAGAGGTCTTCAACTAAAAATTAGTAAGATCTTCTGCCCTAGTTATATTGTATACATATGAAAGAGAGGCAGAGACGGACTAAGATTTAAGTGCTAGAGTGTGGGTAGAATGAAAACATGATCTGGGAGGGTGTCTGGGTGGCTCAGTGGGTTAAGCCTCTGCTTTCGGCTCAGGTCATGATCTCAGGGTCCTGGGATCGAACCCCACATTGGGCTCTCTGCTCAGTGGGGAGCCTGCTTCCTCCTCTTTCTCTGCCTGCCTCTCTGCCTACTTGTGATCTCTGTCAAAAAAAAAAAAATCTTAAAAAAGAAAACATGATTTGGGATAGGAAAAAGAGGCACTATAAAAGCAGACAAGACAGAAAACAGACTATGAATATCTTTCTTTCTTTCTTTCTTTTTTTTTTTAAAGACAGAGATACAGCGAGAGAGGGAACAGAAGCAGGGGGCGTGAGAGGGCGAAGCAGGCTTCCCGCTGAGCAGAGAGCCCTATTCAGGGCTCAATCCCAGGACCCTGGGATCATGACCTGAGCCGAAGGCAGACGCTTAATGACTGAGCCACCCAGGCACCCCGATGGATATCTTTGATATTTTTTATTTATCATTTATCTTGGATGAAATAAAATCCTTTTTTTGGGTAACAAGTTTTGACTAAAAACCAATCAGTTCCTCTGAAAGAAATTACTCATTCTCATATGACAGGCATTCCATTTTAGATTAAACTCAAATATTATGAAAAGCACCAGTCAATCCTGTTTTGCAACTGGATGTAACTTTGTTTACTCTGCATATGAGCTGATCACTATGCTCAGAGACATTGCAATTTATAACAGCTTTTTGTTATTTTCCCAACACATATCCTATTCTAACTCACACCTGTTAAATCCTCCCTTTCAGATGACCACAGCATTAACAAGTGACTTACAGCTTTAGTCTTACAACTTTAGTTTAAAAAAAAAAAAAAAAGTTTAGCACGGACTACAGGATATTCAATATTTAAATGGAATTGGGTAGGTAAGTAGCAACCATAGGTGTGAGATTTGTCCATCTAGAAATATGTCAAACTTGTTTTTAAATAAGCCTCAATCACTGGAAGTCCATCTATATATAAATGCAATCTACTTTTTTTATAAAAAGATTTTATTTATTTATTTGACAGAGAGAGAGATCACAAGTAGGCAGAGAGGCAGGCAGAGAAAGAGGAGGAAGCAGGCTCC